CTATATTCACGTCTATAAAAATGTTTATAATTTGAAAACAACACTGTTCGGCAGTGTCGCTCCTTCCTAGCATCGTCATTCGTCACGCCATCGTGATCTACAGCTTGATAGCACATGCGCATTTGCGCTGCTAAAGAAAAAATGGGTGTTCCGGGGGAAAGATCTTTCACACAACACGAAGAAGCAAATGTTATAAAATTGACAAAAATTTGCAATAACAACAATTCCTGGAAATTTTTGTGAACTTGGCAAAAGGACAAAATAAGTATTTAAATAAGACAACTGAAATTGCCTAAATAACCTTCAAAGCATTGACTAAGTAGAATAAATCACCACGACGATAAATCGTATACACCCCCCGGAAAGTTTACTCTATGATATCTGATGTATGACAGATGTGAATTTTCGCCACTCATCACAATAGTGCACAGTTTCAAAGAAACTCTGCACTAAAAATGAATATTCCTGTATATAGCTAAGCATGTTACTCATAGATTTGTAACCCACTTATGTGAAGAAATGCAATAAATAATTATATCGCACTGAAGACCTGAATGAGCAGCCCTAGAGACTCGATGTGGTCAGTTGCGGCCCGGGGTAATGTGCCCTATACCAATATAGTTGTTCACCAGTCCAACTAGGTCTCAATGTCGACGGCCTGAAGGATCTGAACCGGGGTTCGCCTGTTCCCCTGTTCTAGAGGTCCGCCTGCATGTTCCTCTAGAACAACTACAGGTTTTGCATGTATCCTCAGCCAGCTTTGAGTACCCTGGGTAATGTGCCCTATACCAATAGTTTTTCACCAGTCCAACTAGGCCTCAACTCGCTGAACGACATGCACAGAGTCATGCATGCCCTCTGCAGTCTAGAGATTCGCCTGTTTCTCTAGATAAAGCTTAGGTTAGCGAGAGCCTCTAGACAGTTCGGACGGAACTATTTTCGAGCACTTCTCTGCCCAAAATGTTCCAAGTTATTGTCTTGATTAGTTGCCGGTTGTTCGATTTTAACTATCTGTCTCTTTCCAACATATTCAACTTCATTAATTATTTTTGGCGTAGTTGAAATATTTGGAGTATATTTTCGATGATATAGTTTTAAGGTTATAGCGATATTTAGTTTGATTTATCATTGTTACTAGAACTTTATTTTGACACATCCATTTCACAAAATGTGCTCTTTCATGGAGCCGTACACGCTAAGTCGTGCATATATACCGGGTGGCGCAAAAAAGTTGCCCTGTTTAATTTATTTTAACTTAAAAACTAAAAGAGCTATTACACGTGAACTACTTGCATTGCATTCAGTATTGTCTAACTTAAATTTTGATATACGCTCTGTGCATTTTCGTGCAATATTGACCGAGAGTGCTGCGTTTAGACTTGAATAAACATTTTGGAAAGTGTCGAGAATTAGCTAAAAACGGCCTGTTAAACTAATTTGATAACCGTTACCATATTATCGTAAATTATAGTATTATCAATGAAGTGAAGTGAAGTTTAAATTAAAAATGTTTATTGGATAGATGTGCTCTTTTATTTTTGTTTTAAGGTCTTTGGGAATACATGAAAATTAACTTACAGTATGAAGCAATTTTGATTAAAAGATTTATTCTAAATATTCAATGACCTTGGGAAATCAAATTCCAATGTTCCAAGAAAGAAACGTCGCGTGTTTTTTTTTATAAATACGCCTCGTTTAACGAAGGACCAAAGAGTTTCGATATGTTTAGAATATGTAAGGGTATATATAATGCTAGCGAGGTTACTGACCGGCGGCGTTGGTCAGGTCTCTGAAAGCGAACGTGTACTTTCTGACTATAGTGTGTCTAAACACAGGTTATTGCTGTATTAATATTTGGTAGCCCGTTTTTGGCTAATTCTCGACAATTCAAAAATAGGTATGCAACGCGTACATGTATCTGCGAAAAAACTCGATTCACATTTTGTATTTCTTTGAAAAGAACTGAATAATGAAGATGACATAGGACAATTGAAATATTTCATCACTTATTATTACAATAAATGTGATAGCAAATAAGACTTTAGCGGAGGGCAGCAAGGACAACCCCCCCGCCGCGGAGAAATGTAACAAATGTAACTAATTTTATAATGTGATTATGATTGTAACATAATTATGCAGTCAAGAAATTTCATGCAAACAATATTTGAAGTGTCTATACAGCCAACAGCCGGCTATTTAGTAAACTATCACTTGTCAAACCATGAATTTTCAAAACTTTATTGTAATCATATGAAGGAAAAGTTCTGTCACTTGTTGTTTACACTTGCCAATGTTAGAGGTGCACTGGAACTCGGTTCCGGCCGGAACCCTGATTTTTCAGAGTTCCGAATCCGGCCGGAACTAATAAAAAACCATGGCCGGAACCAGGAACTTTGTCCTTTTCAGAGATATACAGGGTGTATCAAAATAAACGCAATCCATCTTTTGTGCTTAATAACTTTCGAAATACTATTTCTAGTTAAAAGCTTTTATGCTTACTTCAAAGCCTGTTCTTTTCTCTTTCAAACAAACTATTATCCTTGTCTCCAATGCTAGTAATAATTGCACAGGAAAAGATTTAGTAAAACCTATCATTTTTAGTTGCTGTTTAATTATGCAAATTTACTATGTTATTGTTTAGTGGGTTTAAATGTTAGAATTTTCTTCTTTAAACTTTAATGTTGCCGTCACTACATCTGGAAAACCACGTAAGAACAAATTAAAAGTATTTTAAAAGAGACCAGGTTGTTTGAAAATCCTAAACGAATGTTAAAAATCGTCAAAACATTCTGGTGTCTGAGCCAGAGTGTCATCGAATTGCGATGTAATGTAAACAGAAATTATAGCAATTTGATGTCAGTCAACTTATATGGTCCAAGCCAAAATTATATCGCATTTGAAGTTTCAAACTGAGTTAAAAATAGTGGAAGAAAAGCCGTAATTATACTTATTCTTACAATCCATTTAATAAAATATAACATTTTTTTGTTTTAATGAAAAAATCAGTTATTTTCATGAGAACGATTTGTTATTCCATCTCAATTTTTTTAATCTCCAATCGCAATAACGTAAAGTATTATTACCCGCGAACTAATGAGTCAAATTTAAGAAACAACCCACTGTTAGAAAGCTGAATGGCTACGCTTTAAAATGAATGTAAACTTTAACGTTTTAGTCTATTATTTGTTCAGCAATTTACATTTCAGTCGAGGATTGCGCTTTTTTTGATACACCCTGTAGAATATCAAGTTTATTTATCGAATAGCATGGGAAGAAATTTGGACTACACAAGATAAATGTACACTATTAACACTTTATTATGACGTGTTTTTTTTTTAAGTCAGTCTTTTTATTCTAACATTTGCGTGCTCTCTCATTGATGACTGAAAGTGTCTGACTGTCTGGCAGCAGACAAAGTAAGATATGACCATATATCACTTAATGAATCAGTTCCGGTTCCGGCCGTAACTTTTTTCTGGTTCTGGTGCACCCCTAGCCAATGTTAACTGTTGAGTAACATACACAAACTATTCGAGGAACATGCATTACTGAAGCAAAGAGTTAATCATATATTGAAGACCACTGAATAGTAGAGAATGTTTTGAATGTCATGAGTGAAGTATATAATTCAATTCCAATCCTGTGCACAATTAATGATATACCCCAAGTAACTGTTACTGTTCACTTTTACACAACATATCCACACAAAAACAATTTGTGTTGTGGGAGAATATCGGTTTGAGTAAAGGTATCACAAGTTTAGTTTTGTAGATTGTGTGCCATTGATCTTATCCATCATATAATATGATTATTGTAGCTGTTAAGTTATTTTTCATACTAATGCAAGTGGGTTGTTCTGACAAAATTATCTAGCCAATATCCAGCTTATTCATCATTCTTGTATTAATATCTAAACAAAAACATTTATGATAGAAAGCAAAATGACAATGTAATGAGGAGAGGTGGGGATTCTTTTACTGTATTAGCGTTTGAAAATGTTTGTAAATTTAAAATTTTGTTTAATTTTTAAACTCTAATGTGTAAAACCAAAATGTATAAGTATTTTAACATCTCCTTTGCTCTAACATACATAAATGATACATTACAGAACAGCTTAGTTGGACTGTTATTTTGAACAGAGTTAGGGCCAGAAATACAGGACCACGATTTAATTCAATATCTGAGAACATTAGTTTCCTGTGATATTGTTCATTGGCAATATTGCCTTGCTGCCGAGGACGAATTTCGTGACAAATTATACGCTATGTTTTGACACAATGAATGTTTTTAGTATAGATGTAGATAATAAAATGTGGTATTTGACTACTTACCAGATGAAGATATTAAGTTCCCATGTTGATAGATAACTTCGGAATAATATCGCAAGTAGAATGGCGAAAACAAGTCGGGCAAGATGTAAACAATCGATGTAAACTAATCGCTGATTGGCTTAAATTATCATGAATTGGATCAAATATATAAGCTCGTCGCTGAATGGCTATGTGCTAACATACGCGGTACGTTTGCGATAGCAATATATCTGCATCGCAGATACAAAAATGGCTACTAAAGTTTAAACGCAGCTCTCTCAGAAAAACATAGCATGATTAATTATAGACCTATATCGGTTGTTTCGATTGTGGCAAGAATTATGGAGAAGCTAATACACAACCAGATCTATGAGTATTTAATCAAGTCAAATTTACTATCAATTTCTCAGCACGGATTTAGACCTTTTCATTCCACTGTCACAGCACTACTAGATATCACGAATAGATGGTATAGGCCGTGGGCTGTTGGCCAAAATTATTTCGCTTCGTGGCACCCATGTGGGAAATACTTGGTTTGGGATTTATTTGAAAGGCATATAGATATATCACTACCAAAAAAAGTTCCCACGCAAAAAAGGTGCCCGATCCCGAGAAAATGGGTGATCAATGATTATCCTCTATTAAATTGTATTACAGCAAAAAAATGGGAAATTCTGAATTCAACTACAATAAAAATGACTTGCATAATCGGAAAACGTACAAAAAACCGCATATAAGACTTTTAAACAGTTTTTTTATTCTTTAAATAGTCTTGGAGTTATTGCTGTTTTAAATGTGAAAATTGGACCAAAATGTCGCAATAAGGACTGGGTACTAGGTCAAAAACGCGTTTTTGACCGCGTATAACTCGAAAACAATTTTAGATATAAAAAAAAAACTGTTTAAATGTCTTATATGTATAGGTTTTTGTAAGCTTTCTGATAATGCAAGTCATTTTTGTTGTAATTGAATACAAAATTTTACATTTTCTTGCTGTAATACAGTTTAATAGAGGATAATCACTGATCACCCAGTTTCTTGGTGTTGGGCAAGTTTTTTGCTTGGGAACTTTTTGTGGTAATTAAGCATCTATGGTTCTATGAATTGAACCACAGATAATCTATTTCCCAGGAGGGTGCCACGAAATTGCTTTTCTAGACACTTTTTCGCACAACAGCCCACGGCCTAGTATCAGAATATGGATATTGGCCAACTTACTGGTGTTATATTTTTAGACCTAAAAAAAGCTTTCGATACGGTTAGCCACGAAATCTCTTAAAAAAGTTGAATATTTATGGCATCAGAGGAACGGCATTACAGTGGCTTAGATCTTACAATATTGCCGAATAAATGGCAGATTATCTGATCCATTAACCGTGATAAATGGGATACTCCAGGTTCGGCTCTGGACCCACTCTTGTTCTTGATTTACATTAATGATTTACCAAATTACAAATATGTTTGCAGATGAATACAATTACAAATATGTTTGCAGATGACACACAAATTGAAGCATCTAGCGATAATGTTAGTTAATCACAGATAAACTTAATCATGACTTAGAAAATGTGTCGGCTTGGCTATCGGCTAACAAACTAACTTTACACAAGACGAAAACGGAGTATATGATAATAGGTAGTAATGAAAGACTTAAACAAATAGATATACAACCACATTTACATATAAGAGGGAGTAGAATTGATAAAGTTGAAACAACAAAATCACTTGGGTTAATGATAGATGAAACTTTAAATATGGAATGCCTAAGTTCATAAAATTACAAAAAAAGGTTAATTCGGATCTCAGCATCTTAAGGCGACTGCGAGATATAGTAGATTATCAAACGTTAATTACAATATACTTATCGATAATCCAACCCCACTTTGACTACTACTCTCAGGTCTGGGGTTGTTTGGGAAAAGGATTATCAGATAAACTCCAGAAGCTCCAAAATATAGCGTTTCGCATAATAAAGCGCGAAAATTACGATATACGTTCGGTGGACATTTTAAATAATGTAGGCTTTCCAAATTTGCAAACAAGAAGAAGACACCAATTAGCCATTTAATGTACAAAATTAAACACAAAATGTTACCGAATTATTTAATAGACATTTTCACCAGCACAAATGAAATACATGATTACAGTACAAGACAAGGCGAATTCAATTCCGCGTTACCTAAGCCTAATACTAATTTAAAATAACACTCTTTTGCCTATAGAGGTGTTGAAACCGGGAATGGCCTATCCAGCGATTTAAAATCGGCTAAAAGTATTTTTAGCTTCAAAACTAAAATCAATTGTTTATAAATAGATTTATATATATATATGCATGTATTTATATAGTTGTATAGTATACAGTCTATTGGAACGAAGATCAACTATCCATCTTTTGTAAATATTTCGGTGAAATAGCTCTGTTGATAATAAAGGTTAATAAACGTTATACATATATATATACATATATATATACATATATATATATACATATATATATATATATATATATATATATATATATATATATATATATATATATATATATATATATATATATATATATATATATATATATATATATATATATATATATATATATATATATATATATATATATATACATATACATGCTTAAACAAGTCACATATTATTAGCACTGATGAAGATCCGGGCTTACGGATCGAAAGCTTTGCAGTAATAAATTTACGTGGTGTTTCCACAAACAAAACCTAGGGTATGTATTATTATTTATGTATCCAATATACAATAATACAACTGTTATACTACATAGATTGAGTCAGCAACTACTGTCGTACAACTACCCTATATAGACATACAGTATATCCACTGAGAATTTTTGGTGACTCTGAAATTCTTTAATAGAAAGACTAACAAACTGATATTACAGATATTTGAAAATAATCTAATTATGTAAAGGGCTGCTATAATTGGCGAAAGCTGTTGCGTGTACCCTGCCATGCGACTGTTTTGTAAATGTAAAAAAATGTAAAATGTAAATACAGTGTGATAGCTGTAACTGGCGAAGTTTAATAAATACAGTTGTTATATAGTTAGTGTCAAAGTTCAATTTTTCTGTTTGCCGATTGGTCATAACCGTATCACGTGTCGGTGCACAAAACGTCATGTTCACTGCATGCTTTGGCGAGGAGGCAACCGGCCAACAATGAAACATTTATTGACCGGTCAACAATAGATGGGTACAATGCGCATGCGCATCAACCATCCAGTTCGAAAGTTCATTTTTTAAACTTTTTATTAAACATTTACGCAACCTCGTTCCCAGACTCCTTCCTCTACGCTTGCTGGGGTTGGTGACGTGTGACCCATAGAAAATTGATAGCCTATTAGGGGGATGGGAAAGTCTCATATTACATGTTTCCACTTCCGCACTTCACAATTCGATTGCAAGGAGTGGCCGCCTGAACAATCATCTATCAGAATCATATATACCGTATTTACTCGTTTGAGCGCCGCGGCGTTCTTTAAATTTTCAGAGCTTCAGATGCGGCGCTCATTCGAAGGCGGAGGACAATCGGGGGCGGCGTTCAAACGAGTAAATACGGTACTTCAAAATACTTGCTTTTAAATTATACAAACCTGCTGAACTGTATATTCTTATAGAACGGACAAGTCAGGAAATCAGCAACGAAAACGTATGATCGTATGCTTTGAAATATTTGCCCTATTATTCTCTCGGGGTTCGGGAGCAGTTTCATGTCACGCGTACGTTTCTATTCTGCCTCGGGTTCAGATATTTACTGTAAAATATTCTTATAATATGCCATTGAATTGTTGTTATATGGAACGGTATAAATTTGTTAATTAGAGGTCACAACTAATGACGTCACAACTCAAAATATAGCTAGAAAGTGCGATAACTTGGGAATGAGATGAGATATGAAGAAACTGTAAACGTCATTCCTCATCATTCCAGCAGTACTTTTTAGAAAAACAATACAAAATGGGGTAAAAATTTCGTTGCATAAGCACTTTAAAGACAAGCAAAGAACGAGCTTCAAAACAATAGTCTTGGAAAAGAAATTGACCGAAATCTCACCGAGTTATGGCTATGCTATTGGAACCAAAACGAAGTTTTTACCGGTCTTGCATGCTCTTAAACTACCTTCAAAACAACAAGGCAGGGACACGGGAAGGGACGATTGTATTTCTTCATTTTTATATCATTCAAAGCCGTAAGAACCTCATCTTGCCGGAACAAGCTCCGCGTGTAGGAATTTGTATTGTCTATAACGCGCTGCGAAGGATTTTCGCAGGGTATTTCGCAATTTTTCATGCTTTTTGTTAACTAATTCACTACGGTCTCGCTGGCGATTTTGAATTTCTCAGGGACAAGGTTTGACGACATCGAGACAGCACAATTTTAGGCTCAGTTTGTTCGCTAGCATTTGTTTGACCGAATTCGATCTTCGCATCTCAGGAATTGTATTGTATTGTTGAATTAGTAATACAATTTACTACAAATATTGGGAAATTAACAGGCACGGGTGATCACTTAGCGTTGCGTAATAACTATGTCGCTTATTTCTGGCTATGCCAGGAACAGCTGCAAAAAATGCAACTCAAGGTCCCTGGCATGAAACAAACCTGCAGCCCTGCAATTCCAGTGCAGCACCCTAACCAACTGAGTTATAGAGTCCAGTTGTGGAGCTCTACAAACACAAGTTCATGTATATATATATATATATATATATATATATATATATATATATATATATATATATATATATATATATATATATATATATATATATATATATATATATATATATATATATATATATATATATATATATATATATATGAAGGTGTTTGAGGTATCATGTCTGGTATTAATAATGAGTGGTTTGTATTCTTCTTCAGACATTAAAATTTTAATAAAATTTAAAAATATTAAAACCGTCCAAACGTTTCTCCGATTAAGGCTTCTTCAGTGGACTAATTGTTCGAGTAATATTAGGTTCCTATATATACCTAATCACTGACAAATGTTAAAATTAATTATGACTATGAATATTCAAATCTAAAACAATAAAAGATATGGTTCTATACACATGCTTATTTACCTATTGTTATATGCGAACGTTATACATTAATTACTCTCCCAATACAACCATTCATTATCTCCCCTGAATGTTTTTGAATTTCGATGGCCTCAATACATTTACGTTCATCATTGTATCTAATGTTCTTATGAATGATTCTCCAAGTAATGTCTTCCTGATTTGGTTTGTCCTTTTTACTCTTGTGACTCATTATGTGTTTAAACACTGTTTGTTTATCCATTGATAAATGTTCTTTTATACGCGAGCCAATGGTCCTCCCGGTTTCTCCAATATACAAATTTCCGCAATGTGAACAATGAATTTTGTATACCACTTCTTCTTCAAGCATTGATTAGATTTCTTAGCACTTTTACAGGTCTCGCATTTGTTGGGACAATTCATTTGTCCTTTGGGAGCTGAAAACACTTGAGACAATGGTTTACCATTCACAAAACAAGCTTTTACGTTGTCAATCCCCGAGGGTCGTATAACAGATGTTGCTCGTCTTTTATAATCTTCATTTATGTATGGTAATTTTACGTAGATGAGCTTATCTGAGTCGATTTCAGTTTGTTTGCGTTGTCTGTTATTCTTGGTATTCTTTATAACGCTATCAACAAACTTTTTAGGATATCCATTAGCAAAGAAAATTTCCTTCACTTTACTAAGAGATTCTTTAACACCCCGAGAATCCGTCGAGCATGCTATGGCTCTTTTGGTTTCACCAATTAGAATTGCTCGTTTGGAGGAAATAGAGCCGTGACTATCCCATGGCATAATTGATTGGCTGTGTATAGGTTTAATGTAAAGCTTGGTGGAAAATGCTTTGGATTCGGGGTCAAACGAAACGAGCGTATCCAAGAAGGGTAGTTCGTTATGACAAGGTGTTTCAAGAGTAAATTTGATTTTGTCATTTAAGCTATTGGCCGTCGTTAGCAAACTCTGCGCCGATAAACAAGCAGATAACAAAAATGCAAAATAATCATCCATATATCTTTTGAGGATAACCTGGCCTTCGGCTTTACTCACAATTAACGAGTCAAGTTCATTCATGTAGATTATCGCCAAAGATGGTGCTAGGTTATTACCCATAGCGAGGCCTGATTTTTGCTTGTAACTCTCACCGCCAATCAATACACTATCACTAGTCAAACATAAACGAATTAATGTTTCGAAATCCTCATCTTCTAAAGCACGCAGCTCACAATGTTTTTTATGTTTACAAAAGAAACGTTTGGCCACCGTAAATACACTAGGTGTGTTTTCGTTAAGATCATCCAGGGGTATCGACCCATAAAGATTACATACATCAAGACTGCAAAACCCATGAATAGAACTACAATCAAGATTTATATGTTTGCGATGTTACTCTGAGTGCATATCCACACCGGGCGAGCTTGAAATATATGCCCGGCCACGGTGGGATTCGAACCTACGACCTTTGGAATACTAGCCCAATGCTCTTCCAACTGAGCTACGCGGTCAGGACGGTTCGAGTAAGTGATATTTCGGAACAGTATCTAGTTCCTTCAATACCAATGTGTTCTTGTAACATGAATTTTTTTCTGTGTTGGTGTTGTGTACTCAGGTGAATAATATGTTTGCGATGTTACTCTGAGTGCATATCCACACCAGGCGAGCTTGAAAAATATGCCCGGCCACGGTGGGATTCGAACCTACGACCTTTGGAATACTAGCCCAATGCTCTTCCAACTGAGCTACGCGGTCAGGACGGTTCGAGTAAGTGATATTTCGGAACAGTATCTAGTTCCTTCAATACCAATGTGTTCTTGTACTATGAATTTTTTTCTGTGTTGGTGTTGTGTACTCAGGTGAATAATATGTTTGCGATGTTACTCTGAGTGCATATCCACACCGGGCAAGCTTGAAAAATATGCCCGGCCACGGTGGGATTCGAACCTACGACCTCAGAGTAACATCGCAAA